AAAAAAAAGAGTGGTGGGATATACTACACAGGTCACAGTGTTGCCACCAACAAATTACAGTCCATCAGATTAAACATAACTACATTCAATTCAACAATCAACAGCGCATCAGAGGTTCACAAATATATATATCATCAACATATTAAAACATAACTACATTCAATTCAACAATCAACAGCGCATCAGAGGTTCACAAATATATATATCATCAACATACTAAATTTCTAGAATACTCATACTCAATGAACTGAAATACATAGATAGGTAGTGTTGGAGTGAAATTAGCATGCGTAGCCCTCTACACCCACAAAACAGAGATACACTCTCAGCAGCATCACATAATAAGCTATTTTTCTTTTGGTTTGTTGACAAAAGTTACATAGAAAGAAAACATGCAAAAACTAAAACATATACTCTACGTAGGTACCTCACGCGTTTCAGAGCTAGCACAGGATCAAATCTAGTTTAAAGAATGTTAATACCTGCAATGAATGAGAATTAACACCGATTAATCTATCTAAACAATGAAGAAAACACAATACAAATCCATACACAAACAGATAGTAATGTGTATATGTGTGTGGCTGCAAATAGGATGAATACTAGATGATAAAAACCAATCCTCTTGGCTAGCTACAGACCATGTCCACTTTTTGTTCCTCTTCTTCTTCTTCTTACTTTTCCCAATCAAGTTTTTCCCCTTGTCCCAAGTGTGAGGTGATACAAGGGTCTCGAGACAAAATATAGGGAAAAACTCGAAAGGCAGAGCTAAAACTTGGGCATTCTCCAAGTCGCACACAACGAGCTTCTTGCAACTATGGTTTAGCAGAAGCTTATTCCCATTGTCTACAAAAGTAAGCGGCCTCAGGAAATCATCGGGATTAATTGCGAATTGGATCAGCGGGTTCCACACCCCGTACCTCACCATAACCCAGATCTTGAACCGGGACTCATAAGCATAGCCGAGAGAAAGCCGCCCCTCAAACGCATCCACACTCAAATAATCAATCCCCTCAATTTCAATCTTCTGGGGCATCTTAACCTCAAAGTCCTTCTCGCGCACGAGGCTGAAGCCATATATGTGCACTCCAGACAGACCCGGGCTGGGCCACGTCTGGACAATAGTGTGCAGGATACCGTTGACATGGGCAGGCCATTGGCGATGAGTATAGGGCACTCCGTTGGCCCTCTTCCAAGAATTTGACCTCAAGCTGTAAATCCAGTCCTCGGACGACCACAGGGAGAGCGCCTTGAACATGTAGAGCATAACCTTGATGATTTTGCAGTCGTCGTTTTCCTGGTCGTACCCGAACCCGTACGTGGTTCTGCAGAAATGACGCTCGTCTGGTTGAAACTCGCGGGGGCACGCGGGCAAGACCTTGTGCTGTCCCGTGAAAGGGTTCCAAAAAAATTATTTACTATTTTGGGAAATTATTTAAGGACCTAATTATTTTAATTAATATATTGTATATAGTGGGCGAATTTATTTTTGGTATTGATGGTTATTTCTATGGAAAATAAATTAATCAATATATGGTATAAAGTGAACAAATTTGTGTAGGTTATTTGATACTTTTTTTTTTAGGAAAATTATTGAAAAATTAATCAATATACAGTAATGCGCAGGCTAATATATTGATTTTTAGGCATGTGTTTCAGTTTTTATTTCAATTTTTCGTATGAAATTAAAATAATAAAATTACGGTAACTCCGAAAAATAATATGAACTGATATTTTGATATAATGTGCGTGTATCGATATTTTTTTATAGAAAATGTTCTGGTCAATTTTTTTTTTTTTTGTATAATTAGTAGGTCTTGATTTAATTTATTTTTTGTTACGACATTTCAAATAATTTTTGTGTGAAATTCACTGTTCATTTTATTAGCATGATAAATAGTGTCGATTTTTTTGACATATAAAATCTTATTAATGATTGTTTTTACTCAACTAATTAAATATTTTGATTTAGATATTTTATACAAAAATAAATTCATTTTAATTAATTAAACAATATAAGTTTTATATTTATTCTATTATTTACATAGGTTTTTAAATATATGAAAATTTTTACTAAAATAGTTATTTTATGGAATTATGTTAGAGTCAAATCGAATTTGGGAATAAAAATTTTGAAATGACACATATTTTGAAATGCATATAATGTAATTTAATATTAGTTATGTGCTACCTACGAGATGTACTAATTTTAAATAGACATTTTTTATGTAATTTTATACAATTTAAATTTTATATATCATTTTCAATAAATTAAATAGGTGTATTTGTATTACATATTGATTTCAAGTTTTTAATTTTATAAATAATATTTAATGAGAATTTTTAATTTATAAATATTAATTAATATCTCCTGTCCGTGCATCGCACGAGATTCGTACTAGTATATACATCCTCCCTATATATAATTTCCGAATGCACTGAGCCTGCGTGGCTGCTTCTGGTGCTTCGGAATCCTATTTGGCGAAGAATCATGCTTCGTAATTAGGTTTGGATAAATAATATTGATATATTAATAATTAATAATCTAGGTTCGGGTATTCCATAAATATTATTTAGCTAACTTAGGTATTTTAATATCACTTTTACTAATATAACCTTTTAATTCTTTGTAATTTTACATAGTAAGGCACTAAGTGACTAATATATCCTTGAATTTTGATTTGTTTCCTTCAATAAGCTATTGAATTATAAATGTATTTTAAAAGTTGATAACTTTTGTATTTCTTATCGGTTTTACATATGTAGTATATCAAATTAATCATCTTTTGATGATCTTCGATTTGACATCCATATTGTATATATGAAATAAATAAATTATATTTATCTTTATAATAATAAAAAATATTAATATTTATTAAAATTAGTTATATATTGTAAGTTAAAAAAATTAGTATATATAACACAAGTAAGTTGCACAAATAAAAAGTGTCATAGTAAATATAGAGTAATGCTACAAGTACATAATAGTGTACATGAGGGTGTACATAATACTCACATTGAGTGGGATCCACCAAAAATAAAAAATCAAGTAGACTCCACACCGTGTGAGAGTTATGTACACCTCTATGTACATTTATTATGTACATGTAGCATTTTCCATAAATATATAATAATATATATATATTCTTACAAAAGGTATTTAAATTTTCAAACTACTTTTTCTCATTAATTTTAGATTTTAAGAAAAAAAAATTAGCAAGCACCCGTGTAATACACGGGTGTTGTACTAGTATATAATTACGCCAAAAAGGCACTTGACCTTTATTATTGTGATAAAGATGGACTATTCCAAAGAGAAGCACATATATATTAAGTACCTTTGTATCAGATCCATCCATCTGATGTCGAACAATAAAATCAACTAGTACATACTCCGTGCGATGCACGAGATAAAGATATTAAATGAGTTGTTTTCACAGCCTTGTCCGTTTAAATCTAAAAAATAATAATGTTATTATCTATTTTCTACCTCTTTTAATCAACGTTAAGTCTAAAAAAATATTAAGCCGCCCTCTCGCAAATATGTATGGAGTTATGTGTTCGTGTCACATAAGTCACTAACATTATGAATAACATTACAAATTATTCATTCGAACTTTTATTCATTGCAAATATACTAAAATAATTTATATAACAGTCATTAAATACCACTTTCAATATATTTATAAATAAAAAGTACATAAAATTTCTGGTGTGTTCAAATTTAAATAATTTTTTATGGGCTCAATTTTAAATCATCCAGATATTTGGTCAAACGCATACGTATGTTCAAATTTAAATCATTGATAATTTGTTCGGTTGAAATTTAAATCATCTACCATGGTACTGTGATTTCAAGTGAGAATTCAAGCAACTTTCGTTTTAGGTTTTGCGCCGCAATAAAATTTTCAAGTGAGCATGCCAAAATGGTTGTGTGGATAAGGTATTTATAGCTGTCAAGTTTATTTTCCAGTCCCCACTTTTTTTCGGTTTTGCAGTAAGAAGTCCTTCGACATATTTTGTTGCCAAAAGATTTATAAGATCGGAGTTCAACGACTATATAAAAATAGGTTTATCTTATTGAAAATATTTATTTTCACACCGTTTTGAAGTCTTGTTAAGTTTTCACACCGTCCAATAAAAAGCTAAGTTTTTCACCCCAGAAAGTGCGAAGGTTATGCGAAAACTGTCGCATATTCATCGCATAACTGTCAATATGCGAAGGATATGCGAAAAACTGTCGCATATCAATTGCATAATTTTGCAAAGGCATTGTGTGATAAATATGCGACAGTTATGCAATTGATATGCGACAGTTATGCGAAAAACTGTCGCATAACTGTCGCATATCAATTGCACAATTGTGCGAAGGCATTGTGCGATGAATATGCGACAGTTATGCAATTGATATGCGAGAGTTATGCGACAATTTTTCGCATAACCTTCGCATATGGACAGTTATGCGATGAATATGCGACAGTTTTCGCATAACCTTCGCACTTTCTAGGGTGAAAAACTTAGCTTTTTATTGGGCGGTGTGAAAAACTTAATGTGTCTTTATTATGGGGTGAAAAAGATTTTTTTTCCTTTATCTTATTATCTATAATGTTATAATGTTGTATATTACATTCACCATTTTTTTTTAACACTCTAATATACACAAACACTTTCTTTTATTTTATTAAAATATTTTTTTTTTTTCACCCCACAACTTACGAAATTATATGCGATATAAAATTGCATATCCAAACGAACCGCATAATTAACAATTAAACGAGATTTTGTCGTATATACGTATAGTTAATAATTAATGAAAAAACATGCGCATATTCGTTAATTGGATATCTAAATTTATTCTTGATATGCGAAATGATTTCGCATATATAGTAATCACATATCCAAATTGATAGCTGCATATTTATCATTATGCAATATATATATATATATTGCATATTTTACGACTCACATATAACATATATAAATCGGACGCATAACAAGTATGTGAAACACTTATGCATGCATGTTATGTAATCACATATCTAAATACACAGGATAATGTACCATATGCGAGCAAAATTCGCATATTAGTTTGTAGAATTACTAAATACCGTCCTCACTACATGCCGCCCATGACAATTTTGCCCTTTGATTAGAAAAAAAAACCCGGCCGCCCCCCTTCCTCACCTCTCTAGGCGCTCATTC